TCTGTAAGGAATATCTTTGTGCAGGAATCTTGGTGGTGTTGTCACAAGCAACATTTACTTGGTGCTAGCTGGGAGATTTTTTATTTGGCTTCTCCTTTCTAAAGAAGAATGGGTTGTCTGTCAGAGATTGGGGGGTCTCCATCTGTGGAGATAGTTAAAATGTGGCTGAATGTGATCTGTTCTGGGCAACTCAGCAATACATCTTGTCTTGGTTTCAGCTGGGATGGAGTTAATTTCTTCTCAGCAGCTGGAACAGTGCTGGCTTGGGATTCAGAATGAGAGTAATGTGGATAACATACTGATGGTTTGAGGGTTTTTAAGTTGTGTTCATCCTAAGTCGAGGACTTTTGTGTGTGTGTCTTATGCTCTGCCAGTGAGGAGGTTCACAGAAGAAACTGGGAGTGAGCAGAGCTGGGATAGGTGACCCAAACTGGCCAAAGGGATGTTCCACACTAGAGAATGTCATGCCCAGTGTATGAACTGTGGGAGTTCCCTGGAATGGGGATCTGGAATCAATCAGCAATTGTATTGTGCTCACTTGCTTGTATTTTTTTCCTTTCTCTTTTTATATTTGCCATTATTGTATTTTACTATGTATTTATTTATTATTTATTTGGTATTTTACTAAACTATATGGAAAGTAAAATTTTAGAGAACTGCATTTTTAACTAATACTGTGCTCCAGGTATGACTCTCTAGCAGGGCCCAGATTGACTCCTGGGTGTATAGAACTGTTAGTGCATCAGGAAAATAAGGATCTGTGTGTGAGCAGGATTGACCATGTGTCATGTTTGCTTTGTAGAAGATAACCTGACAAAGGAGTGGCCTCTTCATGCACAAGTTTATCTTGAGGAGATGTCCTGGAATGAAGGTATGAGTGCCCTACTGCTGGTTCATTGTCACTGCAAATGTTTGCTGGTTTTTTTCTGCAGCTCACACCATTATGTTGCCTTATTGTGAGTTCTTTTTTCCTGCATTTCCTCAGATAAAGCTACTCTGCTCTCTGAGATTACCTGAACTGGAACTTAACTTTCTGTGACAGTTGTTTTACATTCATTCCCCAGCTCTTCCCCCCACCCCACTTGCAGTTCCACTTCTGCCCAACTCTCCTCTTGTAGTGCAGTTGAGTAATTAGATTTCCAGCTCCTTCCCAAGTCCCTTGGGCGTCTTCTTGCTCTCTCTGTGCTGGTAGAAAGCAAATGTTTGCATACAGAGGGTTTTTTTTCATATGAAGTTGTGTTACTTCCCTCTTTTCCCTTGGCTTTTCTCATTTACTTGCTTTTGGAATGAATGGATGGGGGTTTTTTAATGTTTTTTAATGTTTTTTTTTAAACTCTGAGGGGTTAAGCTATCTGTTTTACTTCCCTTTCTTCTGTTTTGGTTCCTGGGTTAGCAGTCTGTTTCAGGAGCATCCTTGGTTTGTCATATGTATGACTAACACCCCTTAGTTTTCTCTTTTAACATCTGTTTCACTGGTGTGAACCTTATTATTGGTTACTTTTCTAAGGAGCTTGCCCTGCCCCTGGTTGTTTGGTGTGAGAACACCTCAGACACAGAAACCTTTAAGAGCATAGTTATTTTTTGAGCTCCAGATGGTGGCACAGATCTTGATAAGTACAACCCAGCAGTGAGAGGCTTTTTGTTACTGAGAGCAGCTTTGTGAAAAAAATCCAAACTAAATTCTTGACTCTTCTCGAGCACTAAAGGCTTTTCTGTTTCCTTTCTTTTTTGGCAGATGAACAACTCTACACTCTGTCCTGTCGCTGTGGTGGAAATTACAGTGTGTTCAAGAGTGAAACCAAAGATGCATCTTTGGTTTGTTGTGACACATGTTCACTTGTTATCGAGATCCTTCAGTGATTGTTTCAATGAGGCACATGAAGTGTTACAGATTAAAAAGACTGGACAAAGAGGTGACAGCATCTGCTGAAGGAACATGTGTTAAGGGGGGCATTGCAAGAACAAGGCTGCAAAATGAAGAGTGCCCCTTTGCTAACACAGCTCTGCAGAAAGGAGGTTTGTTTTTTCCTCCTGCAGCTAAGGAGCTGCTATTGAACACCAAGTGTGGTACAACTGGAATGTCTCTCCTGGGCTGAACCACATCTCTTTCCCAGCAAAGAATAGAGTAGCTTCTTTCAGTCTCTGTCTGTATCAGCTCTGCCTTGGGCATCTCCTCTGAGGTTAAATCCTGGTAACAGCTCAGGTAACAAGATTCAATCAGGAGGCAAACCTGGGAGAATGCTTTGAAGGTAACGAAGAGCAAGGTGTGTTCATGGGGAACAGGAACACAGGAGCTGAGCCTAGGACAGAGGGGCAGAGACTCCCAGGTGGAACAGGTGGTTGTCAGTGCTGGGAGCAGGGCTGGTGGTTGTGCAACTACATTACCTTTCCAGCTTGGAGCAGGAGCACATTTTGTATTGAGTCTCTCCAGCATCTGACAAATGGAGTCATCATTCCTTAGGTGAAAACTATCCAGGACACATAGTCCAGACAAGAGACCATTCAAAGAAACCCCTCCAAAACCCCTTGGAGTGATGAGGAGATCCAGAACCCACTGGTGCTGTGCTCAGCTGCAACCCCAGCAAGGGATAGCCCACGTGTGACAACATAGTGGTGACTGTTCCTCTTTCATCCCTTGTTAACAATGTTAACCTTGGCTTGTAGTAACAAACCAAAATTTTCTAGTAATTCCAAGCACTTCCTATCAGTAGCCAGAGGAAGCAGAGTAAGAATTCAATTTGTGTTGAAGACAGTATATCATTCCCACTCTCAAGTTAGAGGTAATCTCAGAGAGAGATATCTTTGTCAATACAAAAATAGGCCCATTAATTTTAGTAGAAAATACTATGAAAATTGGGACTAGTAACTTAAATCTTTTATTCATCAAGAAATCTGTGCCCATTGGGGCTTGCACGTAAAAATCCAAAGTCACTCAGAGGCCAAATCTGCAAAACAAAACAGTTACAAGAGATTTTAATCACAACTCAAAGTTCAGTGTTTTCATTTGTTATTGTCATCATCGTTTCATAAATGGCATAATTTTTTTTAGCTGTTAACTTTTCTCTGTTTAACTTCTCTCCAGAAATTAACTGTAGAGCTGTTCATACTACTGAATGCTCCCAGGAGTATTTTGCTCTGGACATTCACTAATTACATGTAGTATGGTCTTGGATGCAAAAAAAGAACCAAACCAACAGTAACAGGAAACCAAGGACATTCTTTTTCACTGTGTCCTTTGCCTCCCTTGGCTGCCTGTGTCACTTTGCAACACTTTTCAGAGATGACACAAGGGGATCAGCAGGAGGAAGGGAAGATGAAGCTGAACAATGAATGCCTTCTGTGGCTCTAATCCCATACAAATTTCACAGCCTCTGCCCAGGATGAAGCAGCCTAGACAGAGAAAGGTGATACACTACCTTGTTCCCAAAATATCTGTCACTATTATGTTTATATTGCTCATTTTTCCTTAATATCTGCTCTTAAGGAAGGTGTACAGTCACTGTCCAGGAACACCAGCCTACTCTTTGAGTTCATAGAACAGCCACAGCCTGGAAGAAGCCTTTGCTGCTTTCTGTGTGGAGTGAAAAAGTAATTTTCTCATTTGAAAAGGAAGCAGAGTGCCAAGGTTCAATTATTTCTACCCCCATGATTTGTCCCCAGCACTGAAGGCCATGACAGAAGAGGCAGAGGCAGCTCAGGATGGGCAGAGCAGGACACTGAATCAGCTCACTACTGCAGACTGCCAGAAGCTCCTGGCCCTGCCTCTGCCAGGCCTTTGCAGCACTGGGTTAAGTTGCTATCAGCTGGATTGGGCCTGGGGAGGCACAAGGATGGGGCATTCTCAGGATCTCAAGTTCTGTGCATCAGATAAAGCCTCCAAGCTCCTTGTCTAAGTATCCTAGAAAATACTTGTGTTCTTGGGCATGTTCAGTTGGGGAAGAGCATGAGGAACATCTGCTGGTACACAGAACCACAGAGGTAATGTCTCTGTGCAGAGCTCTGTGCCCGTGAGCTGTTTTAAGTCCTGCACAGAGACAGAGACTGACAAACCAACAAGAGAAGGATGTTTGTGATCCTGGTTGGAAGCAAAGCTGTGGAATTCAAGGCTGTCCTGTGCTGGCTGCAGGCTGGGTGTCAAGTCTTGGTTTGGCCTTGAAGGCAAACAGAAGTAAAAGGAAGTAGAAATATCCCATATTACAAATCTGAGTAAAGGCCTGGAGAAGGAAGTTTCTCAGGCCATTCACTGCAGCACAAAGCTCACTTTAGGCCACTCCAGTCACACCTATTGCAATATGATTTTCTGTCAGTGAAAGTAATGAAACTTGCTTTAAATGTTGCTTTGACAATTTAGTTTCAAATTCATCACAGTAATCTTAGTGGTAGAGTCAGAAGGAAGATGATGTTTCAGGTAGTGAGAACCTGAGAAACAATACCCATGGCTGGAAACGAGATGGAAACCTTTCCTCTGTGAAACAAAGACATGCCACTGTGTCAGAACTCCCAATTCCTTTAAAGTTATGACAGAAGTTGACTGACTTGGACTGGCCACTCCAATTAGCAGCTATTTGCCCTCTCTGGTTTGGCCTACACAGATAGATTTGATCTGATGGACAGGGGATAAATGGGGCTAACTAGCTCTTCTGAACATACACCACAGGTCTGGTTTAGACCTGGAGCCTAAATCCAGGGAATGCACAGGATATCCTACCTAGGAGATGATGAAGCATGAGTTCTGTCAGAGTAGTAAACAGCAGTTTTTCTATACCTGTGCATCAGTTTGGAGACATACCACGTTCTCATTAGGAGGAGTGTCAGCTATTAGCATCATCTGTATCTTAGCAGTTAATAGTCCAGGCTTAAACATGGGTCATAAAAACAGCCCTAGTGGAATCAGCATTTTTCCCTCTGGTATCCACAGTAAGGCAAACAGAGGAAGAAGGGACAGAGAGCCCTCAGTAAGCACCAGGGAAGGACTCAAAGCAAATCTAGCCAAGAAGAAGAGAGGTCACACAAAACTTGGCAGCAGGGACATGTTTGAGCGTTAGGAAGCAATTACTGATTGTGGCCAATGGATGCAAGGGGTTTTTTGGTATGAAAAGTCTCAAATTGTGTTCATAAATACTGTACATTAGAATGTTTTGTTAAATTGGAAAGATCTAACCCTAGCAGCTGTGCTAAGCTGTCTTTTTGTGCTCGTGCTGCAATATATGGAGAAAATGCAGTAGGCATCTACAGTGGCACAGACTTGGCTTCACTGTTAAGGCTTGTTCACTTTGGTTTAGTCCAGAAAGCAGCAGGGCCAGTCTACATGTCTAAAATGTGTGTGCAAAGAGAACCTTTGCCTCCATTTGGCTTTTCAAACCATAGAGCTACACTTGGCAAACTACAGCGACACTGAGATCCAGAGATGCCCTTTCCTTCCATTCTGCAGAGGCAAGAATCAAGCTAGGGATGGTATGTACAGCAGTGCAGTGTGTGTGTATGTTCATGTTTTTGGATTTGCTAGTGAAATAACTCAGTTTTGTGAGGCAGTGACTGCTCAGTGCTGCTCACAGAACAAGTCCTTCCACAACACCCACTGCTGAGGAGTTAGGCCTTGACAGCAAGTGGCTGAAGTGGTGTGTTCTTGCTTTCCCTTACATGTTGGGCAGGCAGTTAGGAAGGAAAGTTTTAATACCTAACACCCAGGCACGAGAAATGTGTTATGCAGCATATTTTTGAATACTCTAAACATACCTTAAAACAAATGCGTCCTCTGATCAGTCCGTAGGGAACAGGTCCATAGCACCTGGAATCTGTAGAATTCCTGAGGTTATCACCTTCTAACCAAACATGTCCTTTAGGCACCTGTGGTAAGCAAGATGGAAATGTAAAAAGACAAGAGAACAGAATGGTGTTAAGCACAGTTTGCCTTACAATGTATTTTCTGCTTTCTGTGTTCTGCATTTCACGACTGTGTAATGAACTAATTTTTTCCTGAATGCAGTAGGACACAGTGCCAGATTTGGGGGGGATGAGAAGGGGTGCTCCAAAGTATCTCTTCTATCATGTGCTCAAAAACCAATGGTTTGCAACAAAAAATCCAAAATGAAGATGTAAGAGGTTAGCCCAATGTGACAGGGTCATTAATTTAATAGACTTCAAAAGAGGTCATTAGGATGTTGACTGAAAATCTGCCCTCCTGTCGCAGTAACAGCATGAACAGGGCAGCCACACACTCATCAACATCCTGGGGCCAGCACCAAGGCTAGACCTGTTAGTAGATTCGTGATGAACTAACTGGTAATTGATTGTGACATCAATTACGAATAATCTCATCATTTTATCGGAGTAGGCTTGTCAAAGTTCTAATTAAGATCACAGTTCATTCTATGTGCAGGCAGAATCCACAACACATTATATTGCAATAATGATGATCACAAAACAGCAAATCCCTTTTTATAATTTGAAAATTAATGATGGTGACCTTATACTATATGACAAAGACCTTTCATTGCCTATATATATTCTGCATTAACTATATTACATACCATGGATTCGTGGCATTCACTGCCTGACTCAGTGGCAAGATGAGAAACAGCAACACAGCTCTGTGAGTTACCTAAAGGAGAGTATAAAGCTTTCCTAGATGAAAAAGTTGCTCCTGTAAGCCTTAATCTAAGATTTCTGCTTGGAATACACAACACTGTTGAGTCCTGTTGCCTTAAAAACATTTCAGATATAAATAACCTCTTGCAAGTTACCAAATAAAATACTTTCTAATTATCCTTCTAATTGGGTTTTGTTTCTAAAATTCTAAACCAGGCTGAAAATTTCAGAGAAGCAACATATTCTCAATCCAGATAATACTTCATACAGACTTTAAACTAGCATGCATTCTTCCAAAACCAAGTATGCACTGGGAACATGACTATGCCCACAATCCAGAGGAAAAAAATAAAATATGGAAATCAAATAAATAAGTAAACGAATTCAAATGGAACTCTGAGCAGTATAAACATGAGTATTTTAGAACTAACCCACACAGACTCATAAATACAGTAATCTGCAAGTACTGTGTCCTTCCACAGGCTCCTGTACCTCGTTTTGTTTTTAACTGATCTGCTGCTTTATTTCTTCTTGTCCCAGTCTTTCCATACAGGAGTTCCACACAGCTTGTCTGGCACCTTTGTTATTCTGTAGGTCTCAGATTGCTCTGTGAAGGCAGCTGGTTTCAGCTGCATAACTCTGGCCCTACCCAAGCAGCTTTGCAAACAAAACAACCAACCAGAAGTCAATTTAAAATACATGAAATTTTAAAACTCTTGTATCAGGAGTGAAATGACCTGTGCAGAGTACACAGCTCAGATGGTTTTGGTAGGTCTCTAGCTGAGGCTGCACTGACACTCCTACTTTGCTCAACATTCCTGTGGTGCACAGCCTGTTTAGGGTGGGTGAATTGGATGTTCATCTTCACCTCTGTGCAGTGAAGCATCCCCTGTGTCCACATCTTCCATGGGTTTGGTGTACAGAGCACAGCAGCATCCTGAGCTTTCTGCTGCAAACTGTCCTGTCCAGCACCCACCAGAATAACAAGTCACATTTCCAAGCACTGTCACTGGGACAGATTCCCTCAGCAAATACACAGCAGCACGGATTGCAACCAAAGGAAGATTTTTCTTCATTAAATGTAAGAGGCAAACCCATGTTAACAGCTCATGTTGCTGACAATGAGACCCATCAGACACAACTTCCCCCTCTCCCTTGCCAGGCTCTAGCACAGGAGCAAACAGACCAGAAGAGCATCACTATCACTCAGAACCACTGAGCTTGAAGCAGCAGCTTATTCTCTTTCACCTCAGATAAATTAGCATCTTTCACTGCCACGAACTGGCTGAGTTTGCAGAGCTGTTGGCATTTCCTTAGTGGTACAGTTCAAGGGGTAAGTACAGGGCAGGTACCTGATGCAATATTTACTAGCATAAACCACTCCTTTATTCAAATAGGTGTGAAATGCCCAAATAATTATGTTCTTTTGGTCTTTTTAAATGATGCCAAACTGTTTTCTTTGATTACTCTCACTGTCTTCAAAGTCAAGAGATGAGAATACTGTGCTGCATTAACTGCCATACTAGAAAACTAATACACTGCAGATAAAATTAAGAGATGAAATAATCTGCCTCAAAAATCCTTCCCCAAACCCAACGAGATGAAAACAATCTTCTGTGGTTTGGGGATTTTGTTTGGGTGGAGTTTTTGTTTGTGATTTTAGGGCACTAAACCCCAATCTCTTGCACCCTCAAAGAACATCAGCACATAAAATCAGCTGGGAGTAGCTGAAGTTTGAACTTTGCTAAGGTCACAGGTATTCACATCACCTCCAGCAATATCAAAGTTTCAAACCTAAGAAGAACTTCAAATCGTTCCCATCTTTTCTTTTCAGTTCAGAGCTTTCCTTCTTGAGCTATGATAAGAACTAATCTTGGGGCAGGACAAAAGAATAAAGTCTGCAAGTTCTCATCTATCCCCACTAAGGTCTATTTAAGTGCCTCCCACTTTGGTCCAAGCACCAAATGTAATTGCTTCGTGGCCTGCGGGTGTTCACTTAACAAAAGGAGCTTTTGTGAATAAACCACAGGTGTTACCTTGCTTGATTAAAGTGAAATATGATGAAAGATTCTACAATATCAAATGACAAATTTACTAAACACTGATTAAATTGCCTTATTTAAGTAAATTGCATCTAGTTAGGATAAAATATACACCAGAGAAATGCAGGAGTTTGGTTTATCGCTCTGTACTTAAAGTCTCACGTAACTACTCCTTAATCCTCTCTTTATTAATTCAGAACCAAGGCTGAGTAAAGCTCAACAGATACTTTTTTTAGGGAGCCAGTTGCTGTGGGCACTGATTGTTACCCAACAACAGTAATTAGCTCAATATTTTCAAAAATCAGCAGAAGCATTTGCATTTCCTGTGCTTTTTTTTTTGGCTGGAAAAAGCTATGAAATGACAGCAACCAAACTGGGACTTAAACAGTACAGCACATGTTCAATCAGCATAGAATGATAGAATTTAAGGGTTGGAAAGGACCTTAGAGATCATCTAGTCCCAACCCCTGCCCTGGGCAGGGACACCTCCTCACTAGATCAGGTTGCTCAAGGCT